GCCAGGAACCAGCCCTCCAACGTGGGGTGGCAGAGTGCGGCTACCAGCACCTCCTCCAGCGTCTGGAAGACACAAACGGCCACTCTCAGGGGCCTGGGGCCAGTGGGGGGCCGGCAGCTGCTGTGCCAGTCTTCGCCATGTTGAGTAGGATGGAAGCCCCTCTCAGGGGAGCCCAGCACCCCACCCTGGGCCCGGACAAAGCTGGACCCCACTGTCACGCATCTCTGCCCAGAACGAGCCTGAGAGCTGGACTGTGGCCTGGGTAGCGCCCCTCAGCTTGCAGGTCCCAAGATTTAGCCCGAATTCACTGCAGCAAGCCCCCCCCCAACCCGTCACTCATTGAGCACGGCCTCGCGGAGCCACGGTACCGTGTCGCCGGCCAGCTCCAGCGAGGCCGCAGACTCCGCGTCCAGGAAGAGGGCGGCCTCGGCCTGTGCGGCCTCGCACTTCTCCCTGTTCTGCGCGTCCAGCTGCGCGCAGTGCAGGACCAGGCGCCGGAGCAGGTCCAGGAGCAGCTGCAGGAGGGGGGGCCCCGCGCCCCTGCCCAGCTGTGGGGAGAGCCAGGCAACCTCAGGCCAGGCAGGGCTGCCCGTCACCAGGCAGTGCCGGGCCCTCCCTGACCAGGGGCACGATGCCACCAGCAGCAAGGACCGAGGCCAGGCTGGCAACTGCTTGAAAAAGGCCGTTAACCTCAGAGTCGTTTCCCAATAGGACGCGGCCTCCTGAACCCTGACCAAGGCACAGGGCTCTTCTGACCAAAACGTGAGCAGGCCCAGCTCCATCCCTGCCCTGAGGCTCCGTAAGCCACGTCAGGGACAGAGAGCTCACTGCTGAGCCACCGCGCGACCACGTACAAAAGAGGGAGCTGGCCGTGCCTCGGCCCCACCGCGGTGGGAAGGGCTCCGTCCCGCCAGCAGCTGCCCAGCGACCAGGCCCAGCAGCACGTGGCCTCATCTGCAGCGAGGGGCTCGTGGGAGAGAACGGTGCCTAACCCCCGGGGCCTGTCCCAGGAGGAGAGGCTGTGGGCACAGGGCGCTGAACTAGCTGCTGGGGCCAGGGGGAGGCTGCCGGGTGGCGTGTGGCCCGCAGAGAAGGCGCTCACCTGGCGGAAGCGCTCCACGCTGGTCCGCAAGTACAGCAGCACGTGCCTCACGGACAGCAGGACGCGGGGCAGGGGCAGGTGTGGGACGGCCTCTCGCAGCCGCGCCTGCACTGCCTCGTCCAGCAGCGCGGCCTTGTCCTCGCTCTGGAAGGCCGCCTGCAGCAGGGCCCCGAAGGAGGGGTTCCGGGGGTCCTGGGGGGCAGGGCTGCGCGGCGTCTGCAGAAGCTGGAGGAAGAGGACAGACAGTCACCCCAGGGGCAGGTGCACAACCTGGGGGGCAGGTCCAGGTGACACCCCAACCAGGGGACATCCCACAGCAACCGGACGCCCACTGGGAAACACGTGGCCACGCAGCACGTTAGGTGAGCGAGGCCTGAGCTGGGAGGTGTCTCACACCCCAAGGACACAGGCTGCCGTAGGGGCCGCGGGACAGAGAGCCTGCATCCCACAGCCCCTGTGATGGCCTCTGGGACAGGAAGTCAGCCCGTAGGCAGGGCACTGGCTCCTTGAGGGGGGAGCCTTCCACAGCCGCCCCTGCCCACCCCCAGGAGCCTCGGTTAGAGGAGCTCATCGGGAGGAGAGAAAGAGGTGCAAAGCACAGCTCTGGAGTCACTCAGTCTCTCCCTCCCAGCTGCCTTCTCTACCCGACCCGGCCTGTATTTATACCGTCCGAACACCACGCCCCCGCAGGGAAGCCGCCACCCCCCTCCCCCGGGCAGGGAAAGGGCTGCACATGCCCTGAAGCTCCATGGGTCCAAGGTGGGGCTCTGGACAGCAGCGTCTAGGGAACGTGCTGGAAATGCCACTGCAGGCCCCACGCAGACCGGCTGGGTCAGACCGGCAGGGGTGCAGCTGCAGGGGTTCGAGACCCTCAAAGGGGAGAAGCCCTGTGCCCTCCGCTCATGCTCCGAGCACCCGCCCCGGAGTGCAGCCCGAAGCGGCCTCACCTCCACACAGGCCCAGCCCGGCCTGTTGTGTGGGCCCGGGGCCGCTGGTGAAGAGCGTGGGGGCCGGGGCTGGGGGGTATCTGACAACTGAGCTCCACAAGCCCTGGGTGCTAAGGGGCATGGAGGACCCTGGAGGACGGCACAGCAAGGGTGCAGCTTGCTCGGGGGGAGGAAAAGGCACCCCGCCCAAGGCCGACCCCAGCAGCTGCCTCGTTACCCAGTAGCCAGAGGGGCACATGTGTCCCCACCAGCCGTGTGTCTTCTGACGCAGGGAAGCGAGGTGAGGAAACGTCGCCCGCACAGCGACCCAGCTGGGCACGCTCCGTTTCCCGGGACAGGCTGGTCCCTGCGGGAGTGCTGGGGCGTGGCACCCACTCACCGCAGTGTCCTGGGCGGGCTCTGGGATCCAGAGGCGGTAGTAGCTGCTGAAGCAGCACAGCTGTGGGACCGGAGGCGCCAGCTGGTCGTAGGCCTGGAGCAGGAGGCACAGTGCCAATGGGTCCCGCTGGCTGTGCAGGAGGTCTGTGAGCACGGCCGTCAGGTACGCCACGACACTGTCCCCTGCGGAGGAAAAAGGCTCAGGGCCAGCCTCTGGTGACCCATCCACACACCCACTCAGTGTTCAGAGCAGGGAAATCCACCAGGGTCACGTGACCACACTGGGGGCAGATGCCACTGGCACAGGCCCCAGAGGCTCCAGGTCCTGAGGCCAGAGGGGCACCCGGGCATGGGAGAGGCGTGGCACCACCTTCTGGGGGACGCTGCCCTCGCCCCCTGGGGGATGGCCACGGGCCCATCACCAGGTCCGGAAAGAGGCCTTTACTCGCTAACAGGCCTGGGGCTTGTTTGTTGCTGCAGCCACGTCTGAGCGAGCCTCACTCATTACACCGTGATCTGGGCGCACTTCCTGGAGTCTAAGTTGCCTGGACACCCATCAAATACGAAGAACTCATGCTTTAGCATCAAGCAATCGAGAAACACGCCCTGGCCGTTTTGGCTTAGTGGATAGAGCGTTGGCCTGCGGACTAAAGGGTCCTGGGTTCGATTCTGATCAAGGGTACATGCGAGGGTTGTGTGCCCCAGTGGGGGGTGTGCAGCCAATCAATGATCATCTCTTATCATTGATGTTATATCTCTCTCTCCCTTCCTCTCAGAAATCAATAAAATTACGTGTTGTCTTTTTTAAAAGCAGTGAAAAGATGGGAGTTACAGCAGGGTCTGTGCAGGCGTGCACACACAGGACGGGAGACTCATCCTCCAGCGGCCCCTCCCCAGCGGCCTGGCGGCCTCTCGACTATTCCCAGGCTCCTGGAGCCCACCTCCCCCCACAGGAGCCCAGCCGGCCCGACGCCCACAGCCGCCCGCGCAGACACCTGCTTCGCGCTCTGTCCCGAGGAGCAGCTTGTTCCTGGCCTCCAGGGCGGCGGGGGCCACGGGGCTGAACGGGAACGTGAGCAGGGCCATGTCTTCGCTCAGCGAGCATCCGATTTCCTCGTCCAGGCCCTCGCTGCCCTCCACCAGCACGTCCACCATGTCCAGCACGTCTGAGGCGGAGGGGAGGGGGAGAGGTCGCGCATGGTGAGAGCCAGGGAGGGAGGAGGAGAGGGTGAAAGGAGAGTCAATCCCCCGCTTCTCGGGGGGGGGGGAAGGCTTAACATAGTCTGATTCTAAGCAGATGAGGACACGCCCAGCTCAGGGGACAGTGAGCCGCCAGAAAGCGTCCCCTGGACACAGAGGCGAACAAGCCACACCTGGAAGCACCAGAGCCAAGTGGGCGGCACCTGGTTCCCCTCCCGCCCGAGTGCCGCGCAAGGCTGACAGCGGCCTCGAGAACACACCGTGAGGACTGAGCCCGGCGGGCTGTCATGAGGTTGGGCAGCAGGACCTGTGAGCTCAGATCGGCCCTGCACGAAGCAAGCCCCGCACACGTCTCGGCCACGTAAACGGACGGGGCGATGTGTCCACGTGGGCTGGGCTTTGACCTGGTTTGCGCTTGGCAACCCAGAACGCGATTCCTGTTCTGTGTCTAAAGGGCCTCGGCAGCTGGGGCCAGAAGCAGGCACAGGGAGCGCACTGACCGTCGATGTGGGAGATGGGGATGCTGGCGTCGTCGGCGTCCTGCTTGGCCGCGGCCTGCAGCGTGCTGGCTTCCTGGACGAAGTCGGAGGCCTTGTCGGTGTACACGTAGGGGTTCGCCACCAACGTCAGCAGCACCTGGCACAGGGAGCCGAGAGGAGAGCAGCCAGAGGTCACAGAGGAAACGAGGAAAGTGTCCCAACCCCTGGGGACACAGGAGCGGCTGCAGTGCTCACGCCTCCGCGAGAACGAGAGCTTCCTGCCAAGCTCTTAAAGCGTTTCGTAGAATTTTCAAAAACGTCTCCTTCCAGTGTGTCTATCATCGCTTTCACCATCGCTTAGTTACCACTGTCCTGTGCAAAAGCAGGGCCTTAAAGGACATCAAACAGCATCGTCTCCTCCTGTCTTACAGGCCGAGTGTCGGCAGGAAGCGGGCGAGCCGGGAGGCCGGGGAGCCTGG